ATAAATTGCAATTATTATACAAACAACACAAACATTTGATAACAGATCAGGGATACATTAATAATTATTGAGGTTTAATGCAGAAATGAATCAACATTTCCCAATTATGAATTACATGAATAATATATATAAAACTGAAATAAACGTTGTACTTAGGAACAGGCCGAGCAGCAGCCAAGGGTACCACCCACCACCCCAGTGTCCAGCGACCAACCCACCAAGGCACCTCCTGTCCGAGAACCCAAACAGGTAATGAATGTTCCTACGACCTCCACTCGGCACACCTAAACATTTAAGTTTATTAGTATCCTTTGAAGTTCAAGAAGAAGTTATTTGCCATGACATATCTTATTAGTAAGTTTTTGTTTCAAGTTTTCTAAAATATCATATTCATCTTAAATTTCCAGCTGATTTGTTAAAATTTGTATGAATCAAAACTGTTTAGGCTTTAGAATGTACTGATTTCTTTGACAGCATACGTATTTCTGCAAAATTACACTTATTACATTTCAGTATACTTATTCATCAAAGTCAGCAGCCAGAATAATACCTTTTTTTTTTTAATCAGAATATGTCCTACTTCAGCAATATTCTTATTTCTTCAGAAATACACTCGATACTGAATATTTTTAAAAGTAGTACTCTTATTACAGTTTGTGAATTTCTAGGCAATGTTTTTCCAACCTATTGATAGATTGTTCCAGTCAAATGAATTGATTAAATCTTATAACAAGTTATGAATGTGACTTATTTCACAGCCTGAGCCACCGAAGTTTTTGAAGACTTATTGGCGGACCAACAGAGTTTGGAGAAGGGATATGGTCTGGACCGGAGAGGTAAGCATATTTGTAGAATTATCCTCTGTGATATTTTTAACATTCATCAGGTTGGGGGAAACGTAAATTCCGCTGTAATAGTGGTATATCTCTATTATCGTGAGATTCCGCTATATTTTCAGCGCATTTGTCCTCGATTTAATCAGATACCATTGGCAGAAAATTAAAATTCATAACATGTTAGGGTACCAATCAGTGCCCATTATACAAACCATGACTGTTCATAAGTTTATCAGACTAGCTCAACAGTCCTTTGAACGTGGCACTGTTGTACCCATAGTTTTCTGTAAAATGCGGTCTTTCATGAAATGTTACTGGTCGGAATATAACTTGTGTAGCCAGGAAATTTGTTTTACTCAAGCTGTTTGACAATTTGGAAACTCAAACACGAAAAGCATACACAGCCAATTGTGCCTAACGTTAATTTAGTGTTAATCTCAATTAACATTAAATTAACGTTAGCTTGATGTTAGTTTAATGTTACTTTCGTGTTAAGTTAACATTAAAAAGGTTAACATTAAATTAATGTTAATTTTTAATGTTAATTTAACTTAACATTAATTTTATGTTAATTTTTAACGTTAATTTAACTTAACATTAATTTCATGTTAATTTTTAACATTAAATTAACATTAAAATTTTAAGTGAGCTTGGGTTCTGTCTTAAAAAACTAGAACCAAAATATTAACATTAGATTAACGTTAATTAGTTAATGTTAATTTCATGTTAATGTGAATTTAACGTTAATTTTTTAACGTTGAATTCATGTATAAGCTCGATTGACGTTAATTTAACGTTAAAAATTTAAGGTTAAATTAACGTTATTTTCATGTTAAATTAACGTTAGGCACAATTGGCTGTGTATGGACTGTGCGTTTTGACATTGGTTGAAGTAAGGTGGTGCCAGGACTAAGTTGAGGCAAACCTTGAACTGAAATTATTGTATTTAATTACACTTGTGAAACACCAGAAGAATTTCATCCGCTTTTGATAAGAATAGATACATATGTAGACAATACTAATACCTGGTTCATACTGTAAGCTCTCTTTGAAATATACGCGCCTTTTTATTTATCGGTTTTTGATTCTGACAAATTGTGCTGTCATGGATATTAAAAATAGAAATGAGTTTAATTCTTTTTTTAAAAGTCATTTCTCCTACAGGTTCACGAGTAGACTATGTTAAAATACATAACACTTTATATCGGTTTTTGACTGTGACAAACGGTGTTACTATGGTTACAAATAATAAAAAAAAATACTTAATTTATTCATCCTACATTAAAATTCAATTTCAGTCATGCAGTATTTATTAACGCTACAGTTCTGCAGCTAAATATAAGTAGGCTATACGTACTGTATACTCAGAAAATAATTCTATTGATCTTTTGTTAAGTTTCAACAATCGATGTTGACATTTGAAACTTTAAATAGATTTTTCTTGAAATTCTATTTCTACTGTTTGGTTGGATTTTATTAGACATGCATGTAGCTGCAGATCTGTAGCTCTCCGAAAAAATATATTGATAGACCGGAGAGCTACAGTGCCACCCATTGAAAAAAACTGTATATTTATTGCGCACAAAAACGTGCGCTCGGTTCTCGATTTATTTTTCCATGTTTTTAAAACTGTAATTTCAAAATATTACCAACCGTGTGTTCCTAACATATTCTTTCGAAGTGAAAATGTCCAATATTATTAGCAGTTTAGAATGTGCAGGTAACCTACAAAAGAATAAAATTGAAAGGGTTTCATCGGTGATTTACATTTTAATATCCACTTTTAATCAAATTTCATAAGGCATGCAATCTGTGTTCATATACAGGTTATGTGTAGAGTAAAATGCTCAAACTGTTGAAGGATAATTCTATTTTTAAAATGCTTTGTAAATAGTTGAAGTTAAAACAACAGGAAAGTATAAAGATTCTTGAATATGAAATATTATTTATTTCTTGACGTATTGTTTGTGCCGATGCTTAGCTTATGCGGTGTTAAATATTTCATTCAATACTAAGAATACGAAAATATGCATTAATTAATTATGAATATATATGAGAAAACTTGCTCCATGTATACAAGACTTGATTCGAATAAACATTGCAGTTGATGCATCAATAGTTTCATTCTGTAGCTTACCTTTAGTTTGCATTTCTAGTTTCTACAGTTCCTAGCAGATACTGCTCATAAACATAATAGCGCATTCCATGTATTTAAATTAAGCTAGGAGAACATTGTAAAAACAATTTTGAATAGCTATGCGTACCATTGGGGAAAAGAATACCGACACACAGGATTTGGTATATACACATTATACATGTGTAGCACACTCAGCAAGACGGCTTTTTTTTTTGGGGGGGGGGGGGTAAAACACGATTTGTTTTTAATAATTTATTTTGTTGTTCGGGTATTTAAAACGTTTGAAACTAGAAATTTCCCGGTGTGCTGATTTTAGCTGTAAAAATTGATGCCAACAGAACTGTATATAATTAGAAACAAGTTCACTGTTTGTTTCATGTGTCTGATTGCAACAAGTCATTTAAGGATGTTCGTTTATTTCATTATTATATGTGTTAAAATGTATCATGTTGTCTATTAGATGTATGTCTCTTGACTTCAATAAATTGAACTGAACATATTAAGGACTGCGATGCTCAGCAGAAACAATTTAATGGCATTTGATATTTGACTATGATAAAAGAGAATTATTTCTAGCCCAATTAGTTTAAACACTTATCAAAACGCTTAGTTAATTCAAATAAATAAATAAATATACCATGAACCAGCATGGAAGAAATTCTATGATTCAAAGAATTTTGTGACAGATAATTATTTTCACGAAAACTATAAATGCATTAATGCCGAATACCTATTATACGGATACAGTTTTTATAGTTAACAGTATCATATATGTTTTGACATAGCACACTTTTACATCATGATGTGATGTTTAATTTCCTAGAATACAACTTTCCGGATATTGCTTAGCAGAGCTTGGAAAACAAATCTTCCGCACTATAACACTTTATTAACTTACTGCGTAACGGAAAAACGCAGTGAGGGAAGTTATTTTCACTTTGATGTTAACAACCTGAATCTATTTGAGCTACATTATATATAATTAGAAATTAAAATAATTAATAATATGGTGATTGATTCGAATTTCATATTTTACAAAACTTGATAGAAGATATATCTATCATAGTGTAAAATTGACCCTCTGATATATTTTCTATTTTTAGTATAAATTTAGTTTAAATTTATTATCAATTTCAAATTATTTTATTTTATTAATTTTATTGATCAGTTGGTATTTTTATTTACTGCAATAAATTTTATGGCTTGGGATATAGTAGAAATAATAACTTGAGGCCCTTTGTCAGTTTTCTTGAGAAAAGTTGTGAAATCAATTAGCATGTCATCCTTTCGTGTAAAATCTGTGCTTTTCTTAGTTTTCCGCAAATGGAACTTTGTTTTCTTAATTACTTAAATCGTATGTTACCGTAAAGCCCTATTGTTAATCTTCCGTTTGATGTCGAGTGTGAGTCCTTGAAGATTAACGCCCTTTTGTAACAATTAGTGGCAAGAATAACAACACCTGGACAGGGGACGCTATCGGGTTTTTGTCCGATCACTTTTGCGACGGACAACAACGAATAAACAGCTTTAATTTTAACTCTCCTGTCCTGTTTTTCAGATTTAGAAATCTTTGTTATCACCATAGTCCCCAACATACAGTGATATATCTGTTAAGAATCGGTTGAATACAAAGATGAAGCTGCTTGTTAGAGTATTAAAATAAGAGCGATGATTTGGAATTTATCAAATAAAACTTGAATGAATAAAAATCTTAAATATGATAATTTAAAAATATCTACAAGGTTAAGACTGTTTTCCAAGTCGATGAAAAAAAAAAAGAAAAAAAAGAAAACACACGGATAATGAAAATGCTTTTATTTTCCGCTTTGAGCGAATTTTATTCATTATCCTTACTAATGTGGCTTGTTATTTATCAAATGCAATGTTTTCAAAACTGTATCGTGAACTTTACACAAAATCATTTCCTGTTACTTGTTTATTTTAAAACTCGCTTCCTTGAGAATAAATGAATGATGTTTGTTTAATGTCCCTCTCGGGAATTTTTCACCCGTGTTGAGATGCTACCTTTTGCTGGAAATTTAGACCTATACCCGACACCCCAGGACATCGATCAAGGAGGGATATTTTTCGTACCAGCACCAACTGCGACATGAGTTCTCGGTTTATGCAGTTTTTTCTGAAGGACCGGTCTCCACAATTTGTTGAATGACACAAACAGTTATTGCTCTTCATTAATATACATGTTCCGATTAAAAGTCCAAGCTGTGAACTTTTGAGATAAGAAATAGAAGAGGCGAACCAGGCAATTTGTAGAAAAAGCAATATTTTTCAAATCTTGAATTTTTCACAATGTGAATGGCCTTGCTCATGTTTCTTTCTCTTCAAATCTGATATTTGTGTCATCCCTTGCCCCTTTTCCAGAATTGTATGATTCGGATGAAGTTTTTGACAAATCTAAAGATTCATATTCTGAAATGTCTAGATTTTGCTGTACTTCATCTATAGTTGAGTATGGTCTTCTTTTAGCGCTTTGTGCATAAATTGCGGTGGATTCAAATGATGATGCAGGTTCATAGTACACGGCACTGGCGTCTGGTAAAATTTCAATGTAATTTGTTTTCTCTTGTATTTCTGACAGTTCTGCAGGACAGAAGTAACGTTTGCTGACCCTGTCTTGAGGTCTGTTCATTTTTAGTGATTTTTTATGCTTTGGGAATGATTCCGGGGAGAGGTATTTGTAATCATTTTCTTTTCTGCTGGGAAGGACCCGATCTGCACGATCGTAGATATGATTGCCTTCAATTGGTCGATGTTCCATTTGAAGAATTGTGCTGTACCTTTGATTGTTACGTAAATAACTAAGTTGAGGCTCTTTTTGAAGTCTGAACGAAAAAAATAGTTTTAATTCATTAAAAATAAATGATTAAATTTATCTTCGTTCATTGCTTGGAAATGTGCCAAAAACAAAACCTGTCATTTTAAAAATAGATTATAAATACCTTTTAATCTTCCGTCTCTGGACAAAAACAATGAACAGGAATATGAATAAAAGGAAAAATAAGAATCCACAAACACTGAGGAGAACTGGCAAAAAGGCTGGAAAGATGCAATTTTAAGTTCTTTTATGCAATTGATTACACATGTTACATATTCTCTGAATATTTTTTTTTATCTAGGGTAATTAGCAGACGACAAGTTACATGTACTTACAATTCAAATGACTTGAAGACATTTCTTTCTTGATTTTTATTTCAGTAGTACTTGACTGAATGGTAGTCTTCTTGTCATTCAACGTGGATAAAACTTCAGACTGTGTCTGGTCAGATGGATTTTGATGAGTCTGATCAGTTTCTCTGACGGCAGACGAAGCTAGATTTGATTTCTCTTTCATTCTTGTATTTTCAGTTTTGTCTGAAGCATTCATTGTGTTGGTGGAAAGAGTCAGAGTTTTCTCCTCCCACAAAATGGGATTAAATGTTGACTTTGTTGTGAAAATCGTCCATGGGTTTGTATTTTTCTTGGTATGATTATGTCTAGTGCTTTGAATGTGATTTGGTTGAGAGCGTTGTTCTGTCACGACTGTTGGAATAGTAGAGTATTCAGTAGATTTTGCCGAAATAACATTATTGTCTTTGATTGTTTGAGAAGTATTGCATTCAGGGTTATTTGAACCATTTATGAGTTGTGGAGGGTTTGCTGAAGTCGGCGTGGAATTCCTTATAATCACCATTTTCATTGGTTTGAGGTTTGAAAACTTTTTAAAATCACTTTCTTTAACAAGTGTTCTATCTCTTGCTGTCGTTAAGTATGACAAATCTTTTGTTGAATGTGATACTGTTTGAGATCTTTTCCTTTGCAGTAGTGGAGAAGACGTTGTAATTGTTGACGTTTGCTGTGATATTATCCTTATAGAAATTGGTACGCTTTGTGCTACTGTTGTTAATCCTTTTGGTATTGTTACAGGCACCGTATTTTTTGAAGTGTAAACCATTTCTTTGTACGAGGCAACTAAATAAAAAGTTTTAAAAATATTGTAATTGTCGCTTTTCTAGCGACTTACAAAAAAATTGTCGAATGGGGGGGGGGGTTGACCTTTAAAATCAATCAATTCATTAACTGATTTTTATTTCAAAAAATGATTTAAGGAATGTATTTTGATTTCAACAGGAAACCTTTTTTTCTGATAGCCATGTTAACAATTCTCTGTGTAAAAAAGTGATATAAATTAAATTAAACGGAACACACCATTCATGGAAATAAATTCCGTGAACTCCTAATTATCGTATTTGAAATAAAAAGAGATGTCTGGAGCAGCGAGGCATGCATATCATTTCTTAAAAAAAAACTAGAAGCTATAACAACAATATTTGATGCCGGGTATATACCTGACCATTGCAGTTTAAATCCTCTAGCAGTATGGGAATCATCATCATGAATGAAACCAAAACTTTTCTCCCTTTGGCAATAAAACTGCGAGTAGACCCGTTTCCACATTGTTTGTACATAGTGAATTGAGATTCATACTCTTCTATCTGTGAAGTGCAATTGATATAAGAATTGCGAAATCCCTGTTATGAGCTCTGATAAAAGTTATTTTAGCTTGAATACAAGTTTCCGTAAGATTTTCCATGTAACCACAATCAACATTTAGATAATCAATCAAATAAACAATCATATGCTATAAAATGAAAAATGTATTTGAATAAATAAGATATATTTAGATTTATTAGATTACAAAATGTTTTCAAGCTCAAAAGTCCATTTAACAATACAAAACTGGAGCTGAGCAAACATGGACCTAAAAGAACAGACGTGGGGTGCCATGGAGAAGTGATCATCCCTTGCCAACCTTTCATATAAATCATTCTATACATTTAAAATGACAAACACGGATTTGAGGATATCCGGACATAAGCATCAAAGGCAAAGTATTATAATCAAACTGACAGTATAGCTGCGTTTAGTTAATCTTCTGTTGAGTTTAATTATAGTTAATTAGATAAATTCAAAATGAAATAGATAGTTTTTCAAGATAAAAGGTACATAAGTTTGATAAACTGATACATGGGTATTCGGACCACCAAACAGTGTCTTATAATCATGAATAAAATATAAAGATAAGGAATGATATATGTGAGTTTTAGTCCATTTTGAATATACAAATCGGGAGCAGAACAAACGCAGGCCTTTAAAAACATCAGACTTAGAATCAAGTGCGATGGAGGAGTGAACATTTCCTGCCAACAACTCAAATCCTCTGTGTGCTCCTAGTCATGATAGGGAAAACGGAACAATCTGTAGACATTTCACTGTGTAATTAATGGACTAATGATTAGTATGAAAAACGACAGCCAGTATTTGACTTATTGATAGGTTGTATTTGCTGTCAAGGTCATTGTTTTGACCATAAATTTGAATATAATGACTTCAAAGGAGACTATTGATATCCTTGTTGCAAAGGCTTGTCTCATTTTAGAAATTATGGAATGTCTTGCCATCGACATCTTAGGTCCCCTACCATAAACTAGAGAAGGAAAACAATACATTATGGTTGTTGGAGATTATTTCTCCAAATTGAAAGAGGCATTTGCATTGGAGGATCATACAGCACAGACGGTTGCTGATAAGCTTGTTACGGAAGTAATATGCCGCTTAGGCATACCATTTAGAATCCATACCGACCAAGGCCGTGAATTCGAATCGGCACTGTTTGCTGAGTTGTGTTCTCTCTTGGAGATGATAAAATCCCGTACCACGCCATATCACCCTCAATCCGACGGTATGGTAGAGAGATTCAACCGCACACTCCAGCAAATTTATCCATCTTTGTCAATGAGAACAGATCTAATTGGGATGACCACTTGCCATATTTGATGATGGCCTACCGTGCCACGGTTCACGAGAGTACAAAATGTACTCCCAATCTGGTCATGTTAGGAAGAGAAATCAATCTGCCCATAGATGTTATAGCTGGTACAACTCCTACAAATCCACCAGAGATTGGCTTACGTAGAATGGATTCGCCCGAGAAGCCATGTGGTATATGTTATATGAAATTGTTCAAACGTAAAATATGCTTTTTACTAACTTTTTGGCAAGATATGATGCACGTGATTTTATATTCCAAGAAAAAAGATGGTATTTTAGTGTTAAGGAAAATATAATTTATAATTGTGTTTCCGGATTGTTTTTGTTCCATTTAGAGTGACGTCACAATTGTTTTCCCAATTCGTACCAAAGCTTATTGACTCTAATTACACACAAGAAATTCTTTCTCTTAAAAAATTTTGCAATAGTAACATAATATTTTACATGCATTTTAAAATGAAAATAATGTAAGTTTCCAATTAAATTATCAGTCCTTTCCATTTAAATGTTTAGGAGATTTGGCGAGTTTTGGGATTTGGATACGCTTCATTCAATCATTCATCTTATGATTTTACATAGATAAAGCCTTGTTCCCTTGAATAATAAAGCAAAGAATACATTATATGTAAATTTCAACTTACATGTATGAAGAACTTCTAGCTTTAAGCTTTATTGTTTTGAATTTATATTTGTATAAAATCTTAATTTTGCATGCTTAACATTCTCCTGTGTGTTTGTGACTTATTTATTTGACATAAAGTGTATTTCACTTAAGAAATGATATTTCGATCCTCAGGATGCAATCTATTCATGAGTCAAGTTTGATGACAATGTATAGTATTCTCCTTTCAGAGATTAAGTTTCTTTAAGATAACAAATTTTGTTGCCAATTTTTTATGGTAAAAATGATTGCAATAATTGAACAATATAAAACTGATTTCTCGAGTAGCATTGACTAGAGCACTCTATGTAAATGACTCACGGTAGGAAAAAAACGCAAACGTTTCATGAAAGTGCAGTAGAAATTATTCAATAACGTAAGTTTCAATTAATAGATTATCTAAGTAAACTAAATTAATAGATTATCTAACGAAACTTTAAACTCGAAAATTAAATCCATCTCATTAGACGAATGCTAGTTGTATCTATATCTATATTTAATACAAGACTTTTTACCATCATTTGCAAACGTGCGATTTTAATACTTCACTTTATAGTGAATGAATAAGTAAATAAATTGACCTGTAAGAAATCATCACAGTCAAATCCTATTGTTTTATGGATATCCTGGTCTTCTATAATTATGGAAATGTTGTTGGCATTGAGTGGCGCCTCTATCATCCACGTAACATTGCAATTTTTCGGGTAATTACCAGGGTATCCAGGAGACGTTATGATTCCTTTTGTTTCGTATGCATCCAGTCCTATTAGATAAAATTAAGAGGATAGAAAGTATTATTTTCTAGAGTATACATCTACCTAGTATGTTGAGTATACATGGCATAACAATATTTCCCTTTTGCTAGCCATTGAAATTACAACTTAACACAACTTTTATCTTAGAAATGAAATAATTAGACAATTTTAAAACTGTGCGACTTTTGAAATAACCAGTAAGATTGGCTACTTGTTCACAAAAAAGAAAAATAAAGTACCTAAAGCATAATAATGCTTCCTAAAACTCTGACCCAGCGATACTCTAGTCTCTGTATTGTTCACATATAGTTTGTGTCTGTCACATACAATGATTTTATCTTTCTAAATTTCATTGAAAATCAATATTTGATAAGGGCATTTTCTAAAGTTTATTTTATTTAGCGTCAACCTTAAATTCAAAAACGTATCTCTCTACCCGAAAAAAAATCAAACAAATTTAGAGGGGATAAAGCAACATTTTAAGCACAGTTTTAGAATCCCTCATCATTATCTGATAATTAAAAAAATAGATACCTTTCCCAAGGATTTGTATTATCAGTTTTGATTCGTGGTTTTTGTTTTTTTTAAAGATTGAGCCTCAAAACCAATCCTTCCACGGACGCTGAACATAAGAAAATCTTCCAATCTTGAACATGCAAAAAAATTTTAGAACATGGGACAATCCATTTAAACAATACAAATTGAGAGTAGAGCAAACGCAAGCCTTATAAAAATGAGTAGGGATTAGGTGCCATGGACAAGTAAGCATCCCCTGTCAACAAATTAAGCTCCCCGTGCACTCCTTCTCATGATCAGAACAGCGGAAATCCTTAGACAATTCAGTACGTAAGAAATGATCAAACAGTGAGGAGAACGTCAGTATGCTTTCAACATAAAAATAGACTATATTTGCCTACAAGGTCAAGAGTAAGAAAAGAACTTGGAAAGCTGACTTGAAATGAGACTGTTGATATCCTTGTTCATCAGCTTGTTTTTCAATAGCTGAACGGGTTTTAAAAACGGATCATAAGAGTATTTGTTTGTGTATCGAATCAAAGGGGATATATAAATTAAATATGCACGTGATATAAGGACATGTATATGAAATATATGGAGATAACAAACAGTATTCAAGATCAAAAGTCCATAAAAGAATACAAAATAGGATCAGAGCAAACACGGACCTCAGATATATCATAGGTGGGGTCAGGTGCCACAGATGAGTGAGCATCCCCTGCCGACACCCGTATAATGCTACATCAGTAAGGGGAGTTGAGGACGGATAAATTAAAGTCATCACGTTTGTCATTAAGTGTTGCTGTAAGGTAACACTTAACACCGTTTTCTAGTTAAATATCAATATGTGCAACTTTTCTTTTTGACTCTGTTGTATCTGTTAAGCGCTTGGGATATATCGAGTCGACGTTGGAATGGAAGTAACAATTTTTAATTATGTTGATACTCTGTCGTCGATATGTCTAAATGTTTTCTTCTATTTGTGTATAAGCTTTTGAAAAGATTATGTTTTTTGAAACGTGAACATATATTTTGAAACTTAAGATAAATGTGAATAATTTTTATGGCATTTGATCTTTCAAGAAAAAAAACATTTCAAACTGAGAAAAATATAGTTTAAAGAGCAAATGAATGTGTTTTTTTTTAAGTTATTTTTCAAGTTTTTGGTACCCCCACAATTAATTGCATCCCTGCTTTGATTAATTTTAATTTATCATTCTTATATCTAGATTTCAGTTAAAGATAAAATGTGCTAATAATGCACATATCATCCGATGTATTCACACTCTTGTGCGAAATGTACAAGTATATGTTTAATTTTATATATGCTTCTTCGTATTTTATTTTAAATAAATGTCTGAGAAACAAGAACAAATTCAATACATTGCTTTTGTTCACACTACTTATATTGAATATAGAATAAGATATTTAAATACAGATTAATTTTTAAAGATAAACATAAATGGTGCAAAATTTTTTTTTATGAATTTTTGTTACCTTTTATGAAAAATACAAAAACAAGCAGCTTAGAAATTTCCATTTCAGCTCTGCCAAGCAAGGAACTTAATTGTGAACAAACTCTATTTAAATTTTTAATTTATGTGGATTTTATATCAATAACTTCCCGTCATCGCAGTGGACGAGGAAGGTACCATTTCAGAAAAAATAATCTTAAAATATTGCTTAATTTTAAAAACTAAAAAATTCCAACAAAAAAAGATTGTTTCTATTTTTCCATAATAATTGTTTTTTCCTAAAATTATTGCAGGTTATGAAATGATTTTTCAAAAATTGGATAAATTTCCTCAACTAAACAATGAACGACTCCAATTCTTTAATGTTTTTTTTTTTAAATGTGAATGTAATAACTTGTTTGTACGATGGTTTTTCGTGGACGGCATTTTACATGTATATGCAAATTTGGTTGTAGTTTATAAAAGTTAATTTGAAAGAGTGTTTTTTTTTGTTTAAAAAATATCGTGCATTTTCGATGTTATCCAGAAATAAAGACTGCTAAAATCAAACTAGGGAGCAGATCAAAAGAGATATATAGCACTGCACCAGTATTTCGCCTACTGTCGAAAGTTTCTCTCATCATTTAATCATTTACAGATTCATTCAGAGCAGCGGATATGAAGAACTTGTTCTGTATACTACATACTTCAAAAACGTGCAATAAGTAATAACTTAAAGATTTCCTCTTACCTTTCGGGCTTAAAGTTCACTAGAATGACTTAAATTACATACGAAATAATTCTCTCACTTTATTTCACAACCAGCATCTTTGCATTTACGTATACTGTGTATCAGTATAATCAAATCAAACATCTTTCTTAATTTTTATAATAGCGAGCGTCGCGAAGCGACCTCAATAGACTAACGTGTAAGAACAGAGGAAATTTTGAATGATATTTGTACATACGTCAGGCAAATTTATATATAACATTTTTGAATAAGTTTTCTTATTATATCACAAATGTAATGAGTTTCGCTATAAACCCTGAAAAATGCTGAGTCCCGGAAACAGTTATGTCACGCCGGAAACAGTTATGTCATCCCCGACGGAAACAGTTATGTCAGCCTATCGATCACCTTCACGTGTTTTTACGTTACGCATTTTAGTTCGGGTTCGAGATTTTATGACGTCGGTTGCTAAGCAAAAATAAACAACACAGCGTATTTCTTAACGTCAAGAAGGCATTTTTTGATTATTTGTGTACATTTTAACGATTTTGAATGATTTTAAATTTTCTTTTAATTTTAAAAATGTCATATAACATATACCACATGGCTTCTCGGGCGACTATACCAGAATATTTGCCCCTCGGTGACAGGAAAGCCCTGGAGTGTTATGTCACCCTCTGCCTTCGGCATCGGGTGACATAACACTTCAGGACTTTCCTGTCAACTCGGGGCAAATATTCTGGCATGACACCCTCGAAGCCATGTGATATATATATATAATGTGAAACATTCCCAGAGTTCCTTTACTACCCAATGTCCTTTGCGCAAATAAATAAATAACGTAAGGCATAAAAGGCATTCAGTTTGTAGAAATCTTTCAAAGAAATAAAAAAGAACCTTGCAATGTTTTTCGACCAAAATTGCTCAAGGTCTATAGTTTCAACCAGACGCTCTGCTGTCTGCGTAAGCCCCGACGAGCTCCGTTACGTCATGTGACGTCACAGCTAGTCGAAATGTCTCTTGCTACTTGATGCTTGAAGTGGCTGATCTATTTTTTAAGTGTTTTTGATGGTTAAGTGCGCTCGCCCCAACGGTCACACCGTAAAACATATTATGTGTATCTTTTCATTTACAGAATAAATGAATTATGTATTAAAAGTTTTCTACTTACTTTTTTTGAGGATGCTTGCTTTCATGAAAGGTCTTCTTGTATGTCGTCGATGAATATATATATCCTTCCTGTCATATATATGTCTTCTTTCCCAAATAGTCGTGAAAAATCCCATGTTATATTAAGTCTAGGTGAAGTTTATTTTAAATGTATATGGCAAGGAGACTGGTTGGAACAATAAAAGGTATATACATATACTTAACATTTAACAATGTATAATGACTTCACAATATACATCAATAAAAGGACAACGCCATGAATTAAATCTGTTAAAGATCAAGTTAAACCCAAATGATTTTGGTATAAATATATATTATTATAACAGTAACTTGATCCGAAGATCATCATGACTAAAAATTCCACTGATAAGAACGAAAAACCACCTACTGTACACCCATGATTCTTGTGTTAAATTCCAATTTCAAATTAACTAGGTCAATGACCTATTTTTCATGCTAGTGGCCTCTGCGTATTTCTTGGGAAATACCTCAATTTTTCACACTATGACCAATTTTTCTCTTCACTAACAAAATATTACAAGCAACAAAACTCTTTAGATAATGAAATATTATAGCAATGGAACAGCTTTTCTTCGTATAAAGAAATAATTAGAGTTTGGGCCATAAATGTGAAAATTCTTGCAGTCCGAATTTCCTCTGTCATATTCAATCCCCCCCCCCCCCCCATTATTATCGCCTGTAACAAAAATCTGAATGATAATAACTCAAATTCATTTATAGCCTCAGATTACTTTTGTTGCTGTTATTCTCATAGTATTAATATTAAAGGGGTCAATGATCAAATTATTGAGATATGTTGACAGTATGGAATGGTTTTTAGCTCACCTGAGCCGAAGGCTCAAGTGAGCTTTTCTGATCACATTTTGTCCGTCGTCCGTCTGTCTGTCTAGCCGTCCGTCCGTCCGTCTGTCCGTCTGTCTGTCCGTCTGTAAACTTTTCACATTTTGGACTTCTTCTCAAGAACCACTGGGCCAATTTTGACCAAACTTGGTACAAAGCATCCTTGGGTGTAGGGGAATTTAAATTGTTAAAATGGAGGGACATATCCCCTCGCAAGGGGAGATAATCAAGAAAAGACAAAAATAGGGTGGGGTCATTAAAAAATCTTCTTCTCAAGAACCACTGGGCCAGTAAAGCTGAAACGTATGTGGAAGCATCCTGGGGTAGTGTAGATTCTAAATTGTTCAAATCATGACCCCCGGGGGAAGGGCGGGGCCACAATGGGGAATCAAAGTTTTA